AAGTGTGTATGTGTGGATAAACTCTGATGCAGAAGTCATCGACAGTTACCTGACCATGGTCATGTACAGCCATGGACTTATATTGGCAGCTGTACGCAGCACATGCATAGGAAAGTGCCAGGGATTTTATGTTTCATCACAAAGGAGGTGCTATATGTTAATCTGAGGCCTTACTGTCTGTCTTTTTTTTTTTTCTCTCACTTCCTGGCTAGAAATGAGGTATGACGAATTAAGTACAGTCAACAATAATAGAAAAATAACAAAAGTTGTAACCTTTCCTCAACCTACTGTGCCCCTTCATGGAATGTACATCATGTCCTGTTCTGGTGATCAAAAAGGAAATAAGGGGAAATCCTAGTGGGAAACCGCAATGAAAACATGACCAAAGTTCTAACCTTCTGTATTCAATTCTAAGTGTTTTTTTATTTTTTTTAAAACCTATAACTTTAGTTTTTGACAGAGTCAAACGTTCCGTACATATTGTAGTAATGTATAGCTTGTAAAACATGAAGTTATCGACTTTGAAGCCATATCAAAGTCTTTTATTGTTGTATAGCCTGGACATAGTTTAATGATTGACAATGTGTGTCAAGTTAATTATTCCCCAGAGGATGCCCCTGTAGTCTTGTCCCACAGTTGCACAAGACACTCTTTGCCACATATGGGAAACTTCATAGCGGGCTTTGATATGTCAGGCATTTCTGAAATAAACTTCCTATTATAGCTGACAGTGAGGCCAGTGGAAAAACTCTCTTCACATACTGTGACTGTTACTGGCTATACATCGCAATGTCTTACTATGCTAGGAATGCAAATCAGCAATTAGTAATTACAACACTGTTACATTGTATGACTAAAGACTGCTTTCACTGAAGCACAAAGCTTCTCTCAGTGATTAATAGCTGATGACAATAAACTTAATTCTTTTCATTAGAAAAAGTTTTTGTGAAGAAATCTTTCTACTGTCCTCAGTGTGACAATAGCTGCGTTGTTGGCGTTATCAAATCTTTCTACTTGTATTATCAACACATAAACTGTATAAACTGAATATTTAAATAGAATTAAGCTGGTGTAATAGATTATAAAGCACCTTACTATTTTTCTTTTTTTTTTTTCCTTTTTAGCAGAAGTGTCTGATTTAGTGGTATTGTATTTCTAAATGACCCGTCTATCAACCTGCTTGCTCAGATAAGCCCACTGTGCATATTTATTGCCTATTTTACATCAGATGCATTGTCTTGATTTTTGCAACATTTGGAGCAGACAATGTACTGTACACTGCAGTGTGTGTGTGTGTGTGTGGGGGGGGGGGGGGGTAGGGTAGTCCTACAGGCTACATTTTATATGCATTAACCTGCATCTCGACATGCCAGGCTTTAGAGATACAAAGCAGCATGTTTAAAGTGTATGCAGCGAACCTTAATGTGTGTTATGGTATTAAAGGCTCTGTTATTTTCTTTTAAAACAAAAAACATATTATACTTACCTGCTCTATACAGTGGTTTTGCACAGACCAGTGCCTATCCTCCTCTTCTTGGGTCACGTGCCGACATTTCTGGCCCATTCCTCCTGCTAAGTGCTCTCAGAGCAGACTCGGGTATGTATTAGGCGGTTGTGGACTGATCTGCAAACTGAAGGTTTTTATCTTCATGCCTCTACAACCACTATAAAGCGCCCTTACATCAGGAGAGGAAAGAGAGAGCAGCCAGATTCCTCCTCTGCCTGATTATTTCTAAGATAAACCATGGCAATTATATGAAAGTATCCAACCTGGCTAATCAATATTTCCTGCGAAAACATATGCCAGGTGTATGCTGGATAAAAACAGATTGAGTGCCACACTACAATCTCTAAATTACCTTACAGCCTAAACAAACCTAAATCTCTCAAACAGTCCTCTCCCCCATGTGAGTATAGTTTTTAGAACCCTATGAAGGGGAATTTTTGTGCACTCAAAACGTGTTGAATGTAGCATCTTGTGCTATCTTAATCAAGGATTTAGCTATTTGGACTCTGTATTCTTTGATGTGTAACTCATTCTGTTTCTAAATATTTGGAATTCATCTGAGGTATTCATTTTGACTCCTTTGTGTACATGAGCTACCTGGATCAGAGCATTGTGCTTCACAATAGACACCTTATCTCATGATAATGGACTAGAACAGCCTAATGCCTAGTACACACTATGAGAGAATTGGATGCAAAAAACCCCCACTTTCGGAGCGATTGTCTGTCTGATAATTTGATCATTGATACACAGCTTTCGAGAGCTGATCACAATGGTTCATGCAAAATTATCCAAAGGGCCAGCATGAAATTTTTTTTTTTTATTAGAGAGCAGAACTGAAGAGTTTCATGCAATTGGTATAGTATTTGTAGAAAAAAAATTGAGTGGCCAAGGCTACGCATGCTTGTAAACAAAAGAATACATTACAATACAATACATTACGTCACTTTCGAAGTTGTATTCTGTCTTGCAAAAATTTCATCCAATATTCTCATAGTGTGTACGGGGCTTTGGATCCAGCTCCTCACATCCATATTCCATGGGTAAATGTTAGTGTCTGCTGCTTCCTATAAATATTGCAGTTCTTGTTTTATGAGTCTGAGTCTGGTGCTGAACATCTCACATGTAAGTACCAAAAGGACACAGCCTTACAAACAGCCTTACAATCTTTACACACCTTACAATCTTGCGTAGAACTGGAACTAATCTAAATTAGAACACATTTATCTGGGTGTCCCCAGGCTGCTGGAAGGTTTTTGTTCCACCCAAGTTGTATGACTTAGGATGTCACATTGAGAAATGAATAGCCCATGTCTTCTGTTCCCTAAGCTGTTTTCTATAGTGAGACAGCATGCCGAGAACTGCAATAACTGTTTTCTAGCTAAACATTGACATACTGGGTTAAAATACACATACTACTGCTAGCCCCCATTTTTGCTTGTTAAAATGGTGTGATTGGGCAGCAGTACCACTCATATATCAGTACAATGAACTGTGGCACAAACAATACCCTAACAACATTCGACAAGAAAACACTTTAAAGTAGTACTAAACTCTGTTTGATCACTTGTACCAACAGGTACAACAAAGGTTATAATAAAGCTTACCTGTAGATATAATGAATGTGATGTCACTGGTCCAAGCATACTGTGCTCTGAATTGAAGGCACACTGATTGTGCTGTGTTCTGAGCACCTGTTAAACCACTGAACCCCTCTTCACGTGAGGAGTGATCTGTCCTCATGTCTCTGTTCAGAAGCACAACAATGTGTTACCCTGTGTGCCAACACCCACCTGAGCAGCAGTGTAAAAAGTACACAGAGCAGAATTGTGGCACCGGCCTCCCAGCACAGGGGACACACTATCCATGATTATTTCCAATTTTCAGGACGAATACTGGCCCTGACGGGGCTTTAAAATCTGGGACCGTCCCGGGCTATCCTTGACAGTTGGCAACTATGGTCATCACGGCTTGGCCATTCAAACAGCTGAATCTGTGAACCTGGAAGACAGACGGTATGAAGATGGAAGTCTTGGCAACAGTGACAGCGTGCCACTGGAGGGATCATTTTTACAGTTAATAGTTTCATAATGTACTAATATGCACTGCATACTAGAAAATTATGCCATTAACTTGCAGGGGGGCAATACTTTTTTTTTAGTTGTTGTTGAAGACCTCAGTACCACTTTGACAATATTTGATTTTGCCCCATTCTTGCACAGATTTTTACATTGTGTGAAAAATCCCTAAAACGAATGACCTGGCTAATTTACAAAGAATAAATGTATGTGCAGTTTTGCTAGATGAACAGCTATGGAAATTATGATGTACACTATATTGCCAAAAGTATTGGGACGCCTGCCTTTACATTATTATTATTATTATACAGTATTTATAAAGCGCCGATAGTTTGCTCATGCACATGAACTTTAATAGCATCCCAGTCTTAGTCTGTAGGGTTTAATATTGAGTTGGCCCACCCTTTGCATCTAGAACAGCTTCAGCTCTTCTGTGAAGGCTGTCCACAAGGTTTAGGAGGGTGTCTGTTGGACTGTTTGAACATTCTTCCAGAAGCGCATTTGTGAGGTCAGGCACTGATGTCGGACGAGAAGGCCTGGCCCACAATCTCTGCTCTAATTCCCAAAGGTGTTCTTTCGGGTTGAGGTCAGTACTCTGTGCAGGCCAGTCAAGTTTCTCCACCCCAAACTCACTCATCCATGTCCTTATGGACCTTGCTTTGTGCACTGGTGCGCAGTCATGTTGGAACAGGAAGGGGCCATCCCCAAACTGTTCCCACAAAGTTGGGAGCATGAAATTGTCCAAAATGTCTTGGTATGCTGATGCCTTAAGAGTTCCCTTCACTGGAACTAAGGGGCCAAGCTCAACCCCTGAAAAACAACCCCACACCATAATCCCCCTCCACCAAACTTTACACTTGGCACAATGCAGTCAGGCAAGTACTGGTTTCCTGGCAACCGCTAAACCTAGACACGTTCATCAGATTGCCAGACAAAGGAGCGTGATTCATCACTCCAGAGAACACTTCTTCACTGCTGTAGAGTCCAGCGGTGGTGTGCTATACACCATTACATCTGAGACTTTGCATTGCACTTGGTGATGTAAGGCTTGGATGCAGCTGCTTGGCCATGGAAACTCATTCCATGAAGCTCTCTACACACTGTTGTTCTATTCTGAAGGCCACACAAAGTTTGGAGGTTTTAGCTATTGACTCTGCAGACAGTTGGTGACTTCTGCAGACTGTGCTCTTCAACATGCGCTGACTCTGCTCTGTCATTTTACGTGGCCTACCACTTGTTGGCTGAGTTGCTGTTGTTTCCAGTTGCTTCCACTTTGTTATAATACCGCTAACAATTTCATGGATGGACTTATTGCACAGGTGGCAACCTATCACGGTACAACACTTGAATTCACTGAGCTCCTGAGAGCGACCCATTCTTTCACAAATGTTTGTAGAAGCAGTCTGCATGCCTAGGTGCTTGATTTTATATACCTATGGCCATGGAGCTGATTGGAACACCTGAATCCAATAATTTGGATGGGTGTCCCAATACTTTTGGAAATATAGTGTATATACACCTGTTACTGTTTCTTCATGTCTACATTCATTTCTCCATTATATCTATGGTGAGAGCCATAGCTGTCATACAGGCTGTACCTTAAAAAAATGCCTGCCTACCTTTGTCCATCTACATTAAAGTGATAGTAAACTCTGTTACTTTTACCTATGGGTAAGCCTGCAATATATGAATTCAAAAATAATCTGCACTAGGTGCATATACTTATTTCAAATATAAAGAATAAAGCTGCCGCAGTCCAATTGTGATACCAATTATGTCCAAAATTACATTTTTAAAAGAAGAGCTAATTTCACATTGGTGATAATCGTAAAGTAAAATTAAATGCAAAACCAATTCATATATAGAAATAAAGTGCAAAAAAAATATTTAAAACACAAAACTAAAGTGCAAGTGCAACAACACATAAGTGTATAAGAGTCCAAATAAATAGTGTATAAAACAGCGACAGTTCAAATGTTGTCTCTATGTGCATTCAAATCACCTTTATCAAAGCGCTTCCACCACTGTGTGCCATCATTGAAAGAAACCTGTTACCAGACAATATGACCATTAAATTAGAAATAGTCAAAACTACCTTAGCTGATTGATCATCCAATGGCTCTCTAGTACAAGTTGCGTAAATCACCTCCACCTCTGGGCATCACCACCAAAAAGAAGAATAATATGTATCCATAGTGAAGTATGTACAAACTGTGTCTTTATTTTAAAATTTACAGGCTGCACTCATATAGCAAGACATTAAAAGTTGTATCACTGCAGTCATACATTCCTGTATAGCAGGATGATCTTCCACTCCAGGGTCCAGCTGGCACACTTGCATGAGAACGTCGCGTGACGCTGACTGGGAGGTACATTGACTGACTGACACTGACATCAATAGTGACACTAATACGGTGATCACTGCTAATACTGTACACTGTCACTGTTCTAGTGACACTGGCTGAGAAGGGGTTAACATCTAGGGGCAAGTAAGGGGTTAACTGTTTCTATTAATATGTAATGTGTGTAAGATGTGCTGCTTTTACTTTATATATAGCCGAAATTTATTTATTTATTTCATTTTTCTTATATAGCGCAACATTCCATCACTCATCTCTACAGCTCCCCCATTCCATCACTCACCTCTGTACCCCGCATTCCATCACTTACGGTATCTCTGCACCTTCCCTATTCCACCACTCCTCTCTGTACTCCCCATTCTACCACAAACCTCTGCACCCCCCTGCCTCCCCATTCCACTACTCTCCTCTTTACCTGCCTCTCCCCTATTCCAACACCCACCTCTGGAAGCATCTTCCTGTCAGTGGTCTCTCTCCCTCTCCCCCTTCATGGACTTTCACTGCCCTCTTTTTTGTCTGCACATCCATCTCACCCCAACAAAAAATACAGAATGAGAGAAAAAACCTACCAACACCCAACCCATCCTCATACCGTACAGATATATTCCATCATCTCCATCCTCTGTATTCTACCAACGTCTGTATCCTCTGTGTGTATTCTACCATCATCTCCATCCTCTGTATTCTACCATCATCTCCACCCCGCTTTTGTATTCTGCCATCTTCTGCATACTCTGTGCATTCTACCATTATCTCCACTACATTCCTCCATCCTCTGTATTCTGCTGCCCTTGGCTCCCCTTCCACTGCTGGTCCGAGTCTTTGTCTTGACTCCTTTCTCATTTATAAAAGGGGCCAATTGGTGCCATGACGTCACTGTGCACCCCCCTCTGTCCAAACCCGGAGGGCTTTGGAGCTGCTCATCCGCATTTCTAATGCTGGCGCACGGCTATATTATTTACGGGTGACCGCTGTGCCTAATGGGCATTTAATTTACGTACAGTTGGCAACCTTACATGTTTTGCAGCCTTACATCATCGGCACATTTACTGTGCTCTGAATTGAGGGCACACTGAATGTGCCATCAATCCAGAGCACTGCGCTGTGACCATGACTCCCATGTGTGGGAGGGATATAACAGCTCAGCTATTCAAATAGCCCAAACCCATGACCCTGAAGGAAGACCAGGTGAAGATGGAAGCTCTGGCAGTGGTGACTTTGTGCAGCTGGTTGGATCCATTTTACAGTTAAGTCTTTTGTAATGTGCCAGTATGCTATGCAAACTAGCACATTATGCCATTAACTTGCAGAGGGACCGGAATTTATTTTGTTTTTTATAAGTTCAGGACTTAACTATTGCTTTAACGGGATGGTTTTCTGGGACTAGTAGTTTATATAAGAAAGGTAAGGATGTTTGTGATTTCTTTTCAGCTCACAGGAAATGGCAAGGACACTGCATTTCTGGCAAGATCAACAGGTAATTTTTGTACTTGCTGAAGATGTTCTTAGCCTGAAAAATGAAAACTAATGCAGCCACCACATTTAAGGACTGGTAAGCTGCAATATGTTACATTTTTGTTTTTAGATGTAGATACGCTTTAATAGCTGGCTGTAGACTTGTAAAAGAAACTGCATCATCTGTGGACATTTATGCTGAAAATTGTATTCCCATGAATTACTTTCCATCATGGCCTTCCTGCTGGGGTAAATTTCAAAACACCCACTAGATGTAGCACAGGTGCTAAATGTGCTTTACATCTAACTCCCGTGGTTACTCAGCCTAAATTCTTACATTTTCTTCATTTTACTAGGGATATAATATATTTGCAGATACACAGAACATTTTGTCTTGTCTACAGTGCATTTATAATCGCAGCCTGGAACATAACGTCTCTATGTAATTTCCTTTATTCCACTATGGTGATGTAAGTTATATAATGTTGTGTAGGTTACGTATGTTATGAGCCGCCGTTTACAGTGTTGAGGGAGCAGCAAATGCAACGAATGGAAGAATGTAGAACTTGATGTACAGGAATAATATACTGTATTATAAAGGACCCATCTAATAGATGTTGTTATCCATGCATTTGTTTGCTTACTAGTGACGTCATATATTGTGCCAATTCATAATGGCCATTGTGGTAGAGTACTTTCTTGGTCTGTATCTCTGATGGGTACCTTAGTGCAAAAAAATTATCAAAGTAACAGTAACAATGTTGCCTACAGACCCTTAAAGGAACTGTTTAAAGAGAGAAAACATAAGGGTAGATTTACTAAAACTGGAGCGCTCAGAATCTGGTGCAGCTTCTAATTTCAGCTTGTTCTATTGGCAATAAAATCTGGAAGCTGATTGGTTTCTATGCAGAGTTGCACCAGATTTTTCACTCTCCTGTTTTAATACCCATAGGCTGCCATTGTTGATCTGTACTTCACAAAATGTTAGTTTTTTTTTAATGAAATGTTTATCCAGTATCTTCAGTACTATCTCTTTTATTAACCTAAAACAAGTATGTTGATCAGGAGTTCTGACTTCACAAACTATATGCTTGTTACAGGGAACATGTCTAAAACAGCCAAACGACTAGCATCAGTTGCAGCCTCCATATTTCTCTTAGTTTAGGCATCATCCTGTTGCTTCACTCTAGGAATATATAGATTAAATTCTCTAGAGAGCAAAACTGAGAAGTTTAGCTCAAGGCAGAACTCTTGACTACCATGACCAGACAATTGATTAGGGGCAATTAGTTACCAGTGTCAAACAGAAATGAGGGCCCTTTGGGACATCTAACCCTTCCTCACTCTACTTCTTTAAGAGTCAAGTCTACCCGTTATTGATATGGCTGTTAGGTGGACAGTGTTGGATTGAAAAACTCCAGCTATTCATTTTATTTAAACCACACAGGGACAGCCATAGCTACAGAATAATATTCTTCTGGCTGTGTAGTCAAGCCTTTCCATGGAATTCTCAGTTCAGTGATATAGAAAAATTCTGAATAGGTTCTGTCTACCTTGCTTGGCTTAAAGTGAGCTGAGAGTAATGGCCACAGTTTGGAATGGGAGGGAGCAGCCAGAAACTGTCTGTCTATTTGGAGTCGGTCAAATGGAAAGCATGCCTTGGCTGTACGAGTAGCACAGTTCCTTCGTCTATAAATCCATTTTGTGGAAGTATTCGTGTGTTCAATCAGAATGAATATATACACAAGTTGGAAAAAGTTATTTACACCATTAAAAAGGGAAGCAAGCTTTCCATGATGCTACCGTCCTGCTTTTTGTTTACTCATTGATATACCTCCAAGGGTTGACAGAATGTGGTGAGAACATTTGGTGTAGTTCACATTTGTCTCCATGTTGTTAAATATTGAACTGAGAATTGTTGTGAAACTATGCAGACTGTATACGGACTGTGCTCCCCGTGTATATATGAAATACCTTCCACTATGATGCACACATGCATTTCCTTTTTGAGTTGACATGTTTAGTTTACATGATCCATGCTTCCTTTACTGTACTGGTAATTCTTCCATGAAAAATAATATCAGTCATAAGTTAAGCAGAGTTATCCAAGCCTCCAGCAAGTTTGATGAGAAATTGGCCACTTTGTATACACTTTTCTTCAACGTTGTTTTATCTAACCTGAGAGACATCATTTGTAAAAGGTCTGAAAAATTCCTTCACTTCTGGATGGATACCAGCTGGTTGTCACTCACTAACCTTGTCTCCCTCAAAGACTGTTGCTATCTTTTCACGGACATTCCAAGCTCCAGAAATTTTTTATTTTTCTACATTACAGTTAAACTGTTACTAAACCCACAACAGTAAGATCAGTCTGTATATGCAGTAAAGCATGCTTGTTATACTCACTGTGGAACCTAAGGGGTTAATCCTCCGCATTGTGTAAAAAAGGCAGTTTGATCCTGTCTTCTCTGATCCTCCCCTTTTACTGTCCCTAATCCATCTGCTGATAGTACAGAGCTCTAGCAGTCACTCTGTACATGCTCAGTTTAGTGTGTATTGCTAGAGAGTTTTTTTTCTTTGGGAGGGTGCATATGATCGGCACAGGGCAAAGCAGCACTGCCCAGACAGGGTCAGGGGTTATACAGCCTCATAGGGCAGTCAGAGGAGAATGAAAACTCCTACAAGCTTTAACCAGCACTCAGCTGGACACT